GAGCCCTCAAGTAGGGGCCTTGCCCTGATGTACATCTGTCTCTTATACACATCTAGATGTGTATAAGAGACAGCCCAACACCCAACCAGTCTCCTTGTCCATCGCACAAGCATACAGCAGAACTTCCGCGACATGCAAATTCACAAGTGAGTTGCTTGATGTATTGTAGCTGCTTAAGTAGCGGGCAAATTGAGATCTTCGTCAGCTGCTCCCAAGGCATGTCAGCTGCACGTTTGCCAGTTGCAGAGCTCACCAGACTTTTCCGCGACGCTGCTGCTAAATTTAGACTGGGAGACTTTTCTTGTTGGGTACGGGGCGTGTCGAACTCCTAACGACCTAAGACTTTTTTGTCGACCTACGGGGCCTCTATCAACCTACTGTAGTCGGCACTTCGGCCACTGGGCCTGCTGAGTTGGTGACTTTTTTGGGGATTGGAACCGTTGGGACTCTAAGACCAGGACACAGGACAATGACTGAGACGTGAAATCCTTTCACTCCCGCCGACCTCATTGGGAGGTCCTCCAAGAAAAGTGATCTTCCCTACGTATCTGCAATATCGATACCCCTCCTAGCCCTCTCATTGTATGACACGATGTTTGTGGCTGTCTCATGCAACTCGTTCTTAATATACCGTCGGTCCTCCTCTGGTTCCTGGTACTGGAACCAGACTTTGTACTGCTCCTGCGGTCTTCCCCTCCTACGTAACTTGTAGACAATCATCATCTACAATGCGGTCGATGTCATAATGACTGTCCATATAAGGGAAAATCATAGGTCTGTGCGAAGGGAATGCATTGCTGGTCATGCAAGGCAGCAACTTAAGCGGCATGAAACACAGGATACAAGTGCAGCTGAGGTGGTATGTCAACACTGTAGGATGTACCATCCAGGTCACCTATGTATATGACATACATGATCTCCAGCGGCTCTCTGTATGCAGGGAGCAGTTTCGAAGAAATCCCTTTCTCCGATAGAAACTCTTTAGACTTGACCCAGACAAAGTCACCGACGACAAACTTTGACGGTTTACGATGCTTGTTAGCTTGTTCTATCATCTGCTGCTGCCCTTTCTTGATGTTTTCCGCGACTTTCTGCAGGTCTTTCCCATAGTTAAGTGTGAACTCTCTAGTTCCAGGTGATAATCGTTGAATCTGATCAGGGTTCAAGCATTCGATCAGTCTCCTAGGGTTCCCACCCTTATGCATTTCATTCGGGGACTGCGCTGTTGCCAACTGCAAAGAGGTAGAGTACACACTAGATACCGCTGGTAAGTACTCGTCCCAATCAATCTAATCCGGTCCAATGTACATATGGAGTGTCTGCTGCGACAGTTTGTTCATGTGTTCGGTTCGTCCATCCGTCTCGGGGTGCCTACCACATTCAATCGTCAACTTGGGCCCGTGGACTTTCATCAACTGTTGCCGCCGCTGATCTCCCGCGAATATAACATCTCTATCGCTAACTATCGTAAGCGGATGCCCATTGTCCTTAACCCAGTGGTTGAGAACTCCTGGATCACTAAATCCTGCCCTAGCTTCGGGCAGCAGCGGAACAAAAAAAAAGCACATTTACTTATCCTATCTACTATTACCATTACCTGTATCTCCTTACTTCTACTCGTGACCTTCCTGTCCATGAAGTCTATGGGCACTCCCTCTCCTGGTCCTGATAGGCAACGACTTCAGCTGTCCTAACGGGGGCTGTGTCGTGCTCTTATTGCACTGATACACTTTCCAGCTTTGCACACAAAGAATCCGGTCACTCTTCATTCTGGTCCATACGTACAAGCGCAATAGGTTTGCATAGGTTTTCTCCAACTGAAATGCCCTTCTATATCATAGCACTCGCCGGGTAATAAACTGTGAATCTCTTTGTTATTTGGTATACACAGACGTCCCCATTGTCTGATTCCTAAAATAAGAGTCCGTCAATCATCCTATACTCCGGGACTTCATGGGGTGCATCTATGACCTTAGTTATAATGTTGTGTAGGTATGGGTCATCGGCATTGGCAGCTTTAATCTTCTGCTGCAATTCCTGTCCAGTGTTGAGGTATGTGACTATGGCATCCAAGAAGTCAACCTGTCGGGATATTGCATCAGCTACAATACTGTACTTGCATCTTATCAGCTTCACACGAAATCAAACTTGTTGATCTCGGTAGCCCTCCTTGATAACTTAGTGGATAATCTTAGCTATCACAGTCTACTTTAAACCGCCAATACTTGGCCGAACTATCGATGCCGAGCCTGAAAACGGCCTGCGCGCCGTTTCGTGCCGACATGCCAACGCAACCAGAAAAGAAAAGTTTTGGCCGGCGGCGCAAGCCTTCCAGGTCAGGTACCCCGGGCCTCCAGAAGTTGCAGGGCGTTAACGACAACGCCCTGCAGCCGATGTATGGACCAAGTACTGGTGGTTCAAACTGTCCTTCAATTCTTCTTTCAATGCAAATGACTCTCCTTCATATGTTGATGTGGCTACTTTCCCGAACGCCTGGATATGAACTCAACTGGTTTGTACCCGTTTCCATCATAATGATTTTGCTGCAGTACAACACCTATTCCGTACTGAATAGCGTTTGTGGTTATAATGAACAATAGTGAAGGATCAACTACTTTGAAAACAGGGTACTCTATTCTTAGTTTCTTGACGTGGAGGTGTGAAGTCTTGAATCCTTATCCCACCACCGCACGATTTCCTTCTTCAACAATTTGGTTAGGGGTGCAGCGATAGTACTCAAGTTCCATACGAACTTCCCATACGAACTTCCAGTGATAGTTGATTACGCCTAGAAATGACCGTGACTCAGTCAAAGTAGTCTTCATTGTAGGCGAACCCCGAATTGCTGCAATCTTCGCATCCTGTGGTCTCACTCCACCCCATGTACCACATGCTCTAAGTACAGTACTTGCCGCATGACCCAGTCACACTTTTTCAGATTCAACTTGCACTAAACTCCCTCAACTGTCCTAACACGTCCTGCAAGTGCTCCCGATGTTCTTCTAGAGTCTTACTATACACTAAGATGTCATCTAAGTTAACTGCTACAAAGCAATCTAACCACTCCCTAAACATATTCATTCATGCATCTTTGGAATGTTGCAGAGGCGTTTGCCTGTCCGGATGGCATTACCACGAATTCGTAATGGCTGTGCTGGGTCAGGAAAGCAGTCTTATGCGGATCTTCGGGTTGTACTTATATTTAATGGTACCCCGATTTCAGATCTTTTTTTGAAAAATACTTCCATCTTTGCGACTGGTCTAAGAGGTTGTCGATCCTAAGCAGACGCTCAACATTCTTGACGGTTATTGCATTCAGCTCTCTATAATCCATAAACACTTGCCGTTTGCCTTCTCTCTTGAGGACAAATAGAACCAAGCCATTGTACAATGATGAGCTAGGCTTGATCTAACCTTTCTCCACTAAGCCTTCTCTCTTGAGGACAAATAGAACCAAGGCATTGTACGATGATGAGCTAGGCTTGATCTAACCTTTCTCCACTAACTCATCTAGCTCGCGGGGAGTAATCGGCCCCTGCAGTATACTCGCAACCTCAATCTCAATTGGTGCTTGATCTCTCTCTTCCCTACTCTGCCAGGGTATCTCCCCTACATCGGGGTAGTTTTCCAACAACGATCTGGCCAAAGGCGGTATCTCCCTTTCTTCTTTATTTCCTTCACTCACTGACTTCACGTAGGCTACAAACATTTGATCAGCTAACTTCTGCTTCACTATATGCCAAGCGAATGCAGGTGCACTCATACATCATAGAGACAACGGACTTCAATTTGGACTCGTGGAACAATCTGATTTTCTTTTTCTACCTTCGCTGCTGGGCAGCCAGCACTAATGCTCGCCCAACTTACAGCCTCCTTCGCCACGTATCCCCAATTTGTCCATAGCAACAAGTTGAATGGTAGGCTTTCCTCCACTAGAAGGGCCAAGGATTGCAACGCCTTCTTTACCTTTTCCCTCCCTCCAAGCGGAAGCATGCCTCCAGCTGGAAGTATGCCTTAATTCCCTCAACATACTTTTCCACCTTCATCTCCTTGTTATCTGCCAACGCCAACACTGCTTAGCTCTTCCAATCTTTGCACTTCCATTCCGAGATGAAGTTTCTTGATTCCCTTACAACTAATGTAACTCCTGGTTGATCAACTAATGCGCCTACTCTCCTTCTGTTCACCTCTACATCTGCTAAAATTAACCGCCCTCCCTCTCCTTTCTTCGTTTAAGCCTAGGTTTGGTGATAAGTGATCAGTTCATTATCCATGCCTCCAAGGGATCCACCTAACAAGGCTCTCTAGGTGGGGGCCTACATCAGCTTCTACCTTAAAGGACTGTAAACACACGAGTAATTCTCAATGTGTGGCTCTATCTGGCTATCAAAACTCACAACCCCAGTATAAGCAGCCACTACTTCTACTGGTTATCCCTTTTACTGACTGTTCCAATTTGGGACAAAAAGGAATGACCTAACCCGTATCCGTGCATGTAAAGCACCTCCCTTCTTCTCTCTTCTTCCTCCACTGCGCCTCCCACGTATTCATGGCTTTCCAGAGATCTCCTTGGCGGGCACGTCCTTGGGCCACCCGGTGGAAAGTCTCCGCCACCTCATCCACTGTTGTCGAGAACGAAGTTCCCACCTCTTCCACCTTAGGGGAAAGAGCCGCCTCTGCTCCTTGCAGGGAACCGTAACCCCTTCCTCCCGCTTGGAACCCTGTAAAGCTTCCATTCCCCTAGGCTGTAGGGCCTCGTCCTCATCTACCCAGCCACGGCCTCCACGACCCTCCCAAGACTACTTGGTTGTCATCCTCCAGTCTGTAATCTATCTGCTTGTAGAGCAGTTCCTCTACCCCACCTTGCTCAATCATTACTAACAAACTGCAAATGGTCTTGTCCTCCCGCCTCTTTCGCTTCTCTAAATCCTTATAGAAGTCGAAGTTAGATTGCTGCAAAAAGATGGGTTATTCTAGAGTGTACTTCCCAAAGGCCTCATAGGGCTGTCCCGGTTCTTGGGACTTGGCATACAATTGGGACTTCAGGGAATTGGGTAGGGCTAATGCAAAATGATTCAGGATCTGCGACAGGGTGACTCCATGGCCTTTGACATGGAGCAATTCTCCGGGGCATATCTCGAGTTTCGGTTGGAAATTTTTTTGCTTTGGGAAATTGGGAATAATCTCTTCGAGTTTCGGTTGATGCATATCTCGTTGCTTTGTTTGAGCATGTGTATGGACTTCAAGAACCTGGATGATTGCCATTGAAGCCTGAAATTGAGTCGAGGCATTGCACTACTATCAGAGTGTGGGCTGTCGTTGCCCCGCTGTTGGAAGGAGGAAGGAGGCCGGCATCGATTGAGGTCGGCAGGTGTTGGAGTTGAACGCAAATGGGGGAGATTGGAACGCCGAAGTAGAAGGGGTTGTGGAGGGAGATCGATGGAGGACAGTTCTCTCTCTCTCTCTCTCTCTCTCTCTCTCTCTCTCTCTCTCTCTCTCTCTCTCTAAAAATGCACTCACCTCTATCGCCCTATTACCTATGGTGATCGTCTTCCTCCTCCCTATCACCTAGCTATGGCGGATGAGCGCCGAGTATTTCACCCAACACCCGACCAATCTCCTCATCCATTGCACAAGCGTACAGTAGCGGTTCCGCAACATGCGGATGGACAAGTCAATTGCTTTATTTATTGTAGCCGCTTAAGTA